GTTCCCCGTTTTGTTCTTTTAATCTTTTCATCCTCTAAAAAGTTATTCCTAAAATTGTAACTATGTGAGGCAATGGATATGTTAACTAATCTTACTGTAGTAATTATTTTGCAATATGTACATATATCAAATCATTACATTGTATGCCTTAAATTTATACAATGTTACATGTCATTTATAACTCAATAAAAGTGGAAAAAATTAAAAGATCTGTTCATAGTAACAAGTCCATTACTTAGCAAAATAAAATTGGACTCTCTTAATGGATTCCTCATATACAAAAATATAAAAAAATTTTTTTAAAAATTTATTTCTAGCATAAGGTTATCCTGAGGTTGATCAGTTAAGAATATATTTTGTTGTTGTTGTTGTTTTTTTAAGATTTTATCTGTTTGCTAGAGAAAGAGAGAGAGCACAAGTAGGCAGAGCGGCAGGCAGAGGGAGAGGAGAAGCAGGCTCCCCACTGAGCAGAGAGCCCGATGTGGGACTGGATCCCAAGACTCCGGGATCATGATCTGAGCCGAAGGCAGACGCTTAACTGGCTGAGCCACCCAGCCATTCCAAGAATGTATTTTGTTAAAAATTTTTGGAAGGCTTTTGCTAAGACAATTATGTATATACTGAAATTATTGATAGGTAATTTAATGTGATAAGGAAATTAAGGAATAGAGGATATTTAATGTACTTCTTTTACATGAATTTTTGAGTGTATTAATTTTTCAATTGTTATAAAAGTGGAAATTAGATCTTTAGTTTTCTTCAGTGTTTGCAAATCCCTTGTATTTCTTTTCTTCTTTTCCTTTTTTTATTTTTTAAATGTCATCAGTTTTCATTATATAAAAATAGACTAAGTTGAATGTTACAGGCTACATTTTGGTAATTTTTTTTAATCTTACCTTTGAACAATATGGTTTTCTTGGAAAGGTTTTTCACTGTATTTTTATCAAGGTATAATTACATACAGCAAATTTTATTATATATTTCTACCTATTTTAACAAATGTATATTATTGTGTGAACACCACCACAAGCAAAATGTACAAGTTTCGTCATGCCAAAAAATTCTCCCATACTCATTTGTATTCAGTCCCTCCCTCACCCCTGAGCACTGATCTATTTTCTGTCCCTATAATCTTGTCTTTGCAAGAATATTCTAAAAATGGAGTAACACAGTCTTTTGAACTTGGGATATTAGAGAACCATCCAAGTTGTTGTGTGTACCCTAGTTCATTCCTTTTTATTTCTGGGTAGTATTCCCCTATATGGATGTGTCACAGATTGTTAATTCATTTCTCAATTGAGAGATGTTGGAGTTGTTTGCAGTGTTTGATGATTACTAAGAAACTGCTGTAAAGATTTGTTTTTCAAGTTTGTGAGTGAACATAGCTTTCTTTTTTTTTATTATTATTATGTTCAGTTAGCCAGCATATAGTACATCAGTAGTTTTTGATGTAGTGTTCAACGATTCAGTAGTTGAGTATAACACCCAGTGCTCATCACAAGACATACCCTCCTTAATACCCGTCACCCAGTTACCCCATCCCCACCTCTTCCCTTCTATAGCCTTCAGTTTGGTTCCCGGAGCCCAGAGTCTCTCATGGTTTGTCTCCCTCTCTGATTTCTTCCCATTCAGTTTTCCCTCCTTTCCCCTGTGGTCCTCCACGCTATTCCTTATGTTCCACATATGAGTGAAACCATATGATAATTGTCTTTCTCTGCTTGACTTATTTCACTTAGCCTAATCCCCTCCAGTTCCATCCACGTCCATGAAAATGGTGGGTATTCATTCTTTCTGATGGCTGAGTAATATTCCATTGTATATATGCACCACATCTTCTTTATTCATTCATTTGTTGAAGGGCATCTCAGCTCCTTCCACAGTTTGGCTATTGTGGACATTGCAGCTGTGAACATTAGGATGCGTGTGCTCCTTCTTTTCACTACTTCTGTATCTTTGGGGTAAATACCTAGTAGTGCAATTGCTGGGTCATGAACATAGCCCATACCTTGGGCAAATACCTAAGAGTGAGATCGAGGATTGTATGGTATTCTTAATTTTATAAGAAACTGCCAAGCTGTTTTCCAAAGTGGTTGTACCATTTTGCATTCCCTCCAAAGTTTATTGAGTGTTGTTCTACATCCTTGCTAGTCCACGATTCTCTCTCTCTCTCTTCTTTAAGGCATTCCACTAAGTATGGAGTTGTATCTCATGGTGGTTTTAGTTTCATTTCCCTAATGACTAATGATGTTGAGTATCTTTCTCTGTGCTTTTTGCCATTGATATATTTTCTTTGGTAAAGTATATGTTCAAATCTTTGGTTCATTTTTTAAATCCGTTATTTTTTATTGTTGGGTTTTGAGTTTCTTTGTAATTTTAGATACAAGTGCTTTATCAGATATGCGATTTGTAAAAATTTTCTCCCTGTCATGGCTTTCAAAGAGCAGACATTCTTAATTTAGATTAAGTCCAGTTTATTTATTTGTTCTTTCATTGTGCTTTTGGTTTGTATATAAGAAATCATTGCCTAACCGAAGGTCACAAAATCATCTTCCATTTTTTTGGTCAAATTTTAGAATTTTAGGTTTTATATTTATACATGTGATCCATTTTGAGAATTTTTTGGTACAGTGTGAGTTTGGATAAGGTTTTTGTTTTGTTTTACTTATTTGTTTGTTTTTTGCCTATGGGTATCCCGTTGTTCCAGCACTATTTATAGTTGGAAAGACTGTCCTTTCTCCACTGAATTGCCTTTTTGCCAACAGGCCCTATATATTTAGGACCATTTCTGGATTCTTTTTTTCATTCCATTCTTTTTCATGTTTATTCTTTCTCCAACACCGCTCTCTTGATTACTGTAGCTTTATACTAAGACTGGATGTGAATCTTCTAACTTAGAAGAAAGTGTGTATTCTGCTATTTTTTTGTGGTTTTCTCTTAATGTCAATTAGGTTAGCTTAGTTAATAATATTCATGTCTTCTGTACTTGGTAACAATTTGTCTGCTTGTTCTGTCAATCACTGGGAGGGTGTGTTGAAGTCTCCAGTTGTATTTGTGGATTTGTCTTTTTCTCCTATCAGTTTTGTCAGTTTTGGTTCATGGACTTTGAAGCGCTGTTGTTAGGTGCATACACATTTACATTTGCTATGTCATTCTGGGAAAGTGACCCCTTCATAATTAAGTAATGTCCATTTTTATACTCATTCTGAAGTCTGGTTGACATGTTATTGATATAGCTTTTTCTGCTTTCTTTTCATTAGAATTTGCATAGTATCTCTTTTCTGTAATTTTATTTTTAGCCTTTATATTTAAATGGGCTTATTGTATACAGCATATAATTTGATCTTGATTTTTCAATCCAATCTGATGATCTCTATTTTTAATTAAGGTGTTTATAAAAGTTTATATTTAATGTAATTACTACTGTGATCGGATTAAAATCCACCATACTTTTAGCTATTTTATTTTTTAGTCTTTTGTTTCTTCCTCCCTCACATTTCATTTTTGATTATTCCATTTTAGCTTCATTATTGATTTTTTATTATTGCTTTTTCAAATTATTTTATTCATTGCCCTAGGTTATACAGTATACATCTTTAATTAATCAGTCTACTGTTAAATAATCTCATAATATTTAACATGTAGTATAAGAATCCAACATAATTTTCCCAATTTCTCCCCCCATTCTTTGTGCTATTATCATACATTTTACTTTTACATATGCTATAAACACAATGCATTGTCAATAGTTTTGTTCTAGATAGTTATCTTTGGGGCAACTAAAATAAAATTGAATTTTGTATTTACCTCCATTTATTCCATTTCTAAAACTCTTTATTTCTTTGTGTATATGTTATGTCTTACCAAAGTTTTTAAAAATGCATTGAAATTTTTCTTCTCTATTAGCACAAACACCACCAGTCCCTGCCTTCTCCTGACTCTGTTAAAAATGGATTGTGAATAGGCAGCTAGGAATATGTTTGATTTTTAGAATTCTTTTGTGCTTACTTAGAATTTCAGAACCACAGGATTGAATGTGTCATAAGAGTCCTTTGGCCTAATTTTCAAAGTGTGACAGATTTACTTCAACTGATCTTATTTTAAGATTTATCTAAAGTTCTCTTTCTGAGGTTGTAACTTAAGCCTGCTTGGTCTATAGGCTTCTGTCTCTATTTCATTGTCCTGCTGTTGTGTGAGGAGAAGGAACGTCAGGACCACACTGTCTGCTTTTTAATGTTCTCCTTTTAGTAACCTCACACATGTATGAAGACAGTTACTGAGCCCCTTCTTGCCATTCCCCTTTACAGGTAAAAAACATTCTGTACTTCTTTGAGTTTTTTTATAGAAAGATAGATCTACTTTTCCTCTATATGTCTTTACCATTTCTATAATATTTTCTCCTGCATATCTCACATAATTATTTTTGATAGGGCATATGTAAATAAATGGTAGCAGTGTTCACCAAGATGAAAGAGCCAGAATCTCTGTGGGGCTCATGCTGGCACTGGGAGAATGCCAGGGCACCAAATGAATTGGTGTAAATTTACAGGGTCCCCCGTTCCTTTGCCAAGTAGTGCTCACTGTCCTGACCCTTACAGCCCCATGCTGAACTTAAACCCTCTCCCTGAAGCCGTATGGCTAATTTTACTCCAGACACATACCTTTAGGAAAGCTCAGGGACTCTGAAATTTGGTGGATGTCATCCAAAAGCTGTGTTCACCTGAGGACGCAGGTTATTCTAGAGCCTACTGAATGGAGCAGCCCTGGGCATGTTACTTGTATAGGAATGGGCCAGGAGGAAAAGAACAGACTGGAAAACCTAGAACTTTTCTGAGCAAACTGTATTCAGTTCTGAGAAAAAAAAATATAATTGGGCTGGTCCTATAGTAGAACTTATAAACATGTGTCAGTTATGAGGGTAACTGCAAGACTTATTTTCAAGCTTTCCCCTTGATTTCAGGTCCAGAGCATAACATTTTCTTTTTGTCTTTTTCCCCCTCAAGGGGTGCTACATCCATTGTGTACAGATGCAAACAGAAGGGGACCCAGAAGCCTTATGCTCTCAAAGTGTTAAAGAAAACAGTAAGTTTATTTCATTATATAACAGCATCTCTAAGGTATCTGTGACCTGGAGAAGCCAGGAGCCCTGATTCACAGGACAAAGAGGCCAGAGAAATGCTGTGTGCAGCTAACTCACTTAAATCCTGAGTATGAGCGTACAGCCAAATGGGTTGTTTTCTGATGGAAACTGTGTGAATCTTTGAAAGCGACTGGATCTCAGGCTGGATGTGGTTGTGGGGAGAAGTGTGGTAAGGAGAAACCTTTAGAGCTGGCAGGTCAACCTGGTATACTTTGTATACCAGTCATGTTTTCAGCTATATATGTGTACAGGTATAGAATCTCCAATCACAGTTTAATTTACTAAAAATGCTTGCTGTTTAAAAAAATACCTAAATGAAACACAAATGGCTGTATTTGTGAAAGGAGTCATCAGCTTCTAACTTGATTTTTAAATGTTGGGTTTGCTTCAGTGAAGTGCAACTGACAAATGCTGTTGTTTCTAGGACTGAGCCTGCTCATTTAAGAAGTCTTTGTTTGGACAGGGAAAGAAACAACAAATGTTGGAGAGGTTGTGGAGAAAGGGGAACCCTCTTACACTGTTGGTGGGAATGCAAGTTGGTACAGCCACTTTGGAAAACAGTGAGGAGGTGCCTCAAAAATTTAAAAATAGAGCTACCTTATGACCCAGCAATTGCACTACTGGGTATTTACCCCAAAGACACAGATGTAGTGAAAAGAAGGGCCATATGCACCCCAATGTTCATAGCAGCAATGTCCACAATAGCCTAACTGTGGAAAGAGCCGAGATGCCCTTCAACAGATGAATGGATAAAGAAGATGTGGTGCATATATACAATGGAATATTACTCAGCCATCAGAAAAGATGAATACCCAACTTTTACATCAACATGGATGGGACTGGAGGAGATTATGCTAAGTGAAATAAGTCAAGCAGAGAAAGTCAATTATCATATGGTTTCACTTATTTGTGGAACATAAGGAATAACATGGAGGACATTAGGAGAAGGAAGGGACAAATGGGTGGGGGGAATTGGAGGGAGAGATGAACCATGAGAGACTATGGACCTGAGAAACAAACAGGGTTTTAGAGGGGAGGGGGGAGGGGGGATTGGTTAGCCCGGTGATGGGTATTAAGGAGGGCACGTACTGCGTGGAGCACTGGGTGTTATACGAAAACAATGGATCGTGGATCACTACATCAAAAACTAATGATGTATTATTGTATGGTGACTAACATAACATAATAAAATTAAAAACTACAAAAAAAAAAAAAAAAGAAGTCTCTGTTTGAACAAGAAGGAAGGATTGGGTTTTCATATTGCTTCTGTTTGCCATATACTCGTAGGTGAGCCAAGGGGGCAAAGTTATTCAGGCTTGTCTCCAATGAGTAAGAAGTGCAGCAGGTGAGAGTTCACGATAGAAATGGCAGCATCTAACACCAGCATTCATGGTAGTCCCTGCATCCCAGAGAGGGTTTGTCACAGCAATGCACAACTACTGTCTGCCTTGAAAGAGTTTCCCTTTATAAAACCACAAAAACACAACATATTCTTTTAGAGCACATTCTTCCTTTCTCAAATTCTATGGGAACACATATGTGAAATATATATACTTCTGAAAGTAAAGTATGCTGAGGACAGAAATAATATCATAAATTTTGAAATCAAATGATACCTCTTTTAGGACAAGGGATTTTTTTTTTTTTCTAGTATCACCAGTTGTTTATGTATTGTCTGGCACAAGGAAATTTTAGAATCTCATATAATGAAGAAGAGAATAATGGCATGCGGTTTTCAATTGAGTAGAAGTAGAATGACATTTTGAAACAATCTGTTAGAATTTAAAGCCAGAGCAAACTAACAAAGACAGTTTAATTGAAGAATAATTTAATAATTTAAATGGCAGTTGCTACTAGAAACCCTATATTCTAGATTTCCTATTTGGTGTAGGCAATGATTAAGTTACTCCAGAATGTAAGGAATCTTTTGATTGATAAGGTTTGGAATTTTCTCTTAAATCAAATTCTTATAGTCATAACATTTATTTGAACTAAGGATTATTAAAATTTTATGAAATGAAACTTCCAAGTAAATACCTACTTTTTAGGAAAGTAAGTTGGCATGCTTTAGCAGTGGTCACACAAGAGATGTTTTTGGACTTCATTGTATCCTTTCTTGCTGGTTAAAAAGAATTGTCAGTAAAATTTGTGAGTGGTTGTTTGTTTTCATAGTTGAAACTTTGAAAGGGACTAGCTGTATGAATGTCTAGGAGAAGAAACACTCAGAAATGACATGTGAATGCTCAGAATCCCAAAGGACAAAGGGCTGGTTTAGAAAATATTGGTTTATGTCAAAAATCTTTGGTTGAATTGGAATAAGAGACAGGAAGACATTTGGTGGGTTCCTGACTCATTCATTGGGAAAGTAAAGCTCTGGTTTGCCCTTGCTGTATTCTCTTCTCCACCTCTGTTGTGGAAACATCTTCCGCAGAAGACAGGCGGGAAGAAAATGTGGATGGGAACCAAGTGTCAGATGGAGCTGCAGAGCGGTGCTGTAAGGCTGATGAAGTATGTTTTAACCCAAATTCTTGGTTATGAGAATTTTCATATATACTGAAATGTTGAGATACCAGCATGGATGCTAGTATATTGTCCTATATTCAATAATTGTTGATTTTTGCCATATTTTCTTTCTCTTCCCATAAGAACTACTCCCCTCAGATGTTAATCTGAGGAAGTAGTTTAGTAAATCCTTTTCCTCTACTTCAATTTCTTCGAAGTATCACATGAAATGGAGACGATAAAGGGCTCATGAATGAAGGGGAAAAAAAGTTAGTCTTGTTCCCTTCACCCTTGATTCATGTTTTATAAAGTTCACGGTACCCTAAAACCTGGGCATTCCCAGAAGCAATATCTATTCATCTCATTGTGTCATTAATCAAGGTAAAGCTTTGAGGACAGTAAGAGTAAACAAGAGAGGAAAATGAAAGGCTTTTGTGATCATGTATTTGTTTAATTTTTTTCCTCTAGTATTCATGGTACCATACTGAAGTAGCCCTCAAATCTCTTGGAGTGGCATCCATACTCTCTTCCTGGGAAAAAGGTGGCCGGTTTTGTAACTTTAATTTTGAAACAAGTACAGATTCACAGGCAGTGCCATTTTGGTCACCTGTAAGTTCTTTATTGCCTTGCATACAAGAACTAAGTGATTGCATGTATCAGTGGAACTTGTACCGTGAACTTTGTAAAACATGAATCAAGGGTGAAGGGAACAAGACTAACTTTTTTTTTCCCTTCATTCATGAGCCCTTTATCGTCTCCATTTCATGTGATACTTCGAAAAAATTGAAGTAGAGGGAAAGGATTTACTAAACTACTTCCTCAGATTAACAACTTTGGGGCATTGAAGGATTCTAACAGACACAGCTATTAGGACAACCCGTGATTTAGAAGATGGAAACTTTTTGGGGGGGGTGGTAAATTGTAATTTTTTTATTGGAAAACAAATATACAACTTGGAATGGATTTGAGGCAAATTGTGCCATAAGCAGATTTTCTTTAAGTGGCTAAATAAAGTTTAAAAGCCAGTAACAATAAAGGAAAATGTTTCTGGTACTGGACCAGCAGTACAAAAAAATAGTGTATGAGTACCTGGATAATACACCCGTTTTGCAATAGTGCAACTTTTAAGTGCATATTGTTGACTGTCCACAGTCCATGCAGAGTTACAATGCCACACTTCAACAACATGCTGACAGTTCCTAAAGAAAACTACTTAAAAAGGCATAACCCAGATGTTTCCTCATTTGACAAACTCCATCTAAGTTCAGATGTGCGGAAGGGCTTAGATACATCCAGAGTAAGCCACGTGCAACATGTTACTTGATCAGCTTTCTAAAATAAGTTTTCAGGACAATGACAGTAAGATAAGGGAAGAAAATATGGAGGAATGAAGTCCTAATTACTACACATGCATAATTTTTGACAGCTGGGGGAAACCTTTTTACAGATAAGTTACAAACAAAGAAAAGGTGAATAAACAATATTGTACGAGAAACTGAACACATTCTGTAAGGTGTCTTCACTTTGCTGTCATCATTTGTACAAACTCTTCATCGTTTACTTGACTATCACCATCACTATCTGCTTCCCTGATCATTTCATCAACCTCCTCATCTGTTAACTTCTCTCCCAGGTTTGTCATCACATGGCCAAGCTCTGCTGCCCTAATGCAGCCATTGCCATCCTTATCAAACACACAGAGGGCTTCTCTAATTTCTTCTTCACTGTCTGTGTCTTTCTTGCCATCACTGTCAGAACTTTCGGGAAGTCAACTGTGCCATTACCGTCAGCATCTACTTCATTAATCATGTCCTGTAACTCGGCTTCTGTGGGATTCTGCCCAAGAGACCTCATTACAGTTCCCAATTTCTTTGTTGTTATAGTTCCATCACCATCCTTGTCAAATGGTGAAAAAGCGTCTTTGACTTCTGCAATCTGCTCTTCAGTCCGCTGGCCAGCCTGCGATGCATCCCTCGGACTCGGCTTGCAGCGGCCGCCGCCACCAGGATGCGGTGCGGCTCCTGCCGTTGCTGCTCTGGCCGCGCTGTCCTGGTAACTGCCAAGACGGAGCCTTTTTACTGATGTCACATGACGTTTGAATATGTTGAACTTAAAACTGCACAAAATGAGAAAAACAGATTCAAGAAAGTGTCAGAATTTGAACAGATTAAGCAGATGGAACCTTTAGTTTGGACTGAATTTTGCGGAGTTAAATGGAACCACAACTTTTGAAGAACGGCACGGTGATAATGTAGTTACTATTTCGGGAGTGAGTCACATGCTTTACCTTTCTTCCTGAGGAGTACGTACCTCAGGGCATATCTAAATAATCACACATCAGCCCTATCGGTATGGCTCATATTCAAGAAGAACTGATGGAGATTTAAGAAAATTATGCTCACCAATCATTTATAGTGTCCCTGGAATTTTGGAGACAAAT